ACACCCTCCTCCACAACCCACAGATCAGAGAAACGATCGCCGAGACCATGTCGGAATACTTCACCTTAAACTAGGACTAGGTGGAGTCCAAATGTACCCTATGGGCAGCCCACAAAGCCGTCCTAAGGGGGACAATAATAAACCAAGCAACCATACACAAGAAAAAACAAGTCGCCCACCTGGAACAAACACTGACGAAACTAAGAACCTTAGAAACCAAACTCAAACTTGACCCCACAAAGGAAGTAACCGATAAAAATCAAAACATGCCAGGCAGACATCAAAGAATACATGGCGAGGGACTCAACCAAAGCCTTACTGTGGTTGAAAAAACTCCTTTACAACAAGGCCAACAAAGCCGATACCCTCCTAGCACGCAAGCTCAGACAAAGAACGGCTCAAAGACTGATAGGCAAAATTGCTACACCGAACGGATCAGTCACGGAGGACCCCGAAAAGATAGCTGAAGTGTTCCAAAGCTACTTCACGAGCCTGTATGACCACGACACCGAGGCACGCCGGAACCCTCTGGCCACCAATGCACTTATAGACCACTACCTGACCCAGACTCCACTGCCCTCCCTAACTAACGAAACGGCACAAAGGCTAATCGACCCAATAACACCAGAAGAACTCGCGGGCACAATGAAAACACTGAAACCAAACAAAAGCCCGGACGGTTTCACCGGCTTATACCACAAAACGTTCGCCCCCACACTAGTCCCCCACTTATGCAACCTATACAATGCCATACTACAAGGAAACCCCCCTACCATGAGAAATGCTACAGGCCACAGTCTGCATCCTCCCCAAACCCAACAAAACACAATTAGACCCAGGACATTACCGGCCCATCTCCCTACTAAACGTGGACATAAAAACTATTCACCAAACTTTTGGCAGACCAACTTTGCCCCCACCTACCCCAACTCATCCACCCAGACCAAGTGGGATTCATCCCCACTAGAGAGACTAGCGACAACACAAGGAGAACATACGACCTAATATGGTCCGCACACACGAGACGCATCCCAACCCTCCTACTCTCACTAGACGCCGAAAAGGCCTTCGACAGATTGCTTTGGCTCTATCTGTTCGCAACCCTCGAAAAATTTGGCTTCCCCACGGGCTTCATAGGAGCACTACAAACACTGTACGCCACACCACAGGCCACCCTCTTACTGCCACTCAAGCAACCACCTGCATTCACAATACACAACGGCACACGCCAGGGATGTCCCCTATCTCCGGTCCTATTCGCCCTATCCCTGGAACCGCTCCTACAGAACCTCAGACACAATACCGCCATAAAAGGCCTCAAGATACGGGAGGAGGAATACAAAACCGCAGCGTACGCGGACGACCTACTCATAACGATTACGGAACCAACCACCTCCCTACCACCACTCCTACAGGCCCTAGAAGAATACGCCCAAATATCAGGGTACAAACTCAATATTGATAAAACAGAAGCACTGCCCTTAAACATAGACCCTCCCACCTTAGAGACGTTACAACAAACTCTACCCACATACAATACCTAGGACTCGCCCTACCAGCAGACCTATCCCAATGCTACACCCTGAAATACACCCCTATCATACACAAAATCACCCACGACATATTTACATGGCAGAATATGCCGATATCCTGGCTGGGCAGGCTAGCCTCGGTTAAAATGAATATCCTGCCCAGGCTCTTATACTTGTTCCAAGAACTCCCAATTCCAATCTCTGGACCAGACTTTAAAAGACTACAGACTACAATAGACAAGTTTATCTGGTCCAATAGACGTGCGTGGATGAAGAGGCAAACCCTGTACGTACAAAACAGAGCAGGGGGACTGGGCCTACCACACCTCACCCATTATTAGCCCATACGGAGTCAAACAATGGGTAGACCTCGAGCACGACATGTTCAGCAGGGACTTCCCCTCCCTTTACATCTGGCTACCAAAGGAGGCCAGACCACCCATGCCTCGGACGACCTCAGCACTGACCAACACCATCAAAATATGGGACAAAGTAGCGCACAAAAGCGGCCTCACGAAACCACTATCCTCACTAACCCCACTGCTCTGAAACACGCAATTTACACCAGGTATGACACCCAAAGACTTCACACGATATGAAGACAACAGCCTCACACGCTTACACCACTTCAAGGACAATCAGCTGATACCATTCGCAGACCTACCACAAACACCTTTCCGAACGTTTGACTACTTCAGACATATCCAGATCAAAAACTTTCTCGAAACACCAGCAATTAACCCCTTAAGGACACATGACGGAAATATTCCTTCACAATTCCCTTTTATTCCAGAAGTTGTGTCCTTAAGGGGTTAAACAAGCAGGTAACACAAAAGAGAAAATACAGGTAGAGTTGGCATGCACACAGGGATATGTACCTACAGGCAGTAGCAGCAGTTCTTTAATAAAAATATACTCACTTTGTACAATAAATAGTCACAGGGCCAGTAAGGTGCTGGAGGCGTTGCATCTCTGTTGTGAGGCGATACTCAAGATAGATGGGCGAGCAGTGGCTCGCACACTGTTGGGGAGTACAGGAGGAAGGTTACAGAGAATTAATCTACCAGCGTTCTCGCACCTATTTCAATAAGACGTTGCCCATGCTGCAAAGATACTTTTTTCTTATCATTGCTCGCTCTAGGAGACTTGTTCTGACCAACAGAACGTCATCAATAGAGGGTGAAGAATGGGTGCTTAAAATTACTTCTTCCTCGAAGCTGAAGTTGTCGCACTCAGCCAGTTTTCCCGAAAAGCCGCTGGGCTAAGAAACGCGCGTCGGGAAGAACTGAGGGGAGGGTGGTTTTGACAGTCAGGGAGGACGCTCCGATTTTTGATTTAAAACTTACATTTCTTCACCCTCCTCGAGATATTCATTGACCGTTTGTTTTTAGTTCAGGACAGAATCTCCTAGAGCAGGCAGTAATTACTAAGAGAAGAATTATCTTTGCAGCACAGTATCTAGTAGATAACGATCTCGACAGTGCAAGGACTTAGCACTTTGGGGAGAATGAGGGAACGCTGGGGTTTACTTTGGAGGGTAGATTTTCTCTATTAACCCCTTCCCTCCTGTACTCTAGCAGTGTGCTACTATTCAAGTGTGGGAATTTTTTCTCCTTATCTATCTTAGTTATCATATCTCCTGGCTCTATACATAGGAGATCTGTCCTTATCAAGCTTTATACTTTGTTTATATTTGATACTATTTATTTATTTTTAGAATTGATTATTAAAAGTTATATTTTAATTCAGGGACTGCTGCTCTCTTTACTTCTAACCTGTAGGTGCACTATCACTATTATTAAGTGCATGCTCCAGCTCTACCTGTATTTTCTCTTTTGTAACTTTATTCAGTAGGGGTTACCCCCCATTCTATTTCAGCAGTCTGACACCTTCTCCCTATTTTTTCTTCTTTCATCAAGCAGGTAACACAGCACTAGCCCCCTTCGAGAAACAATGCATGCAAGCCCCAATACAGAGAGGCCAAATCTCCACACTATACTCCCACATAATCCAAAACATAAAAGACGGTGCCCTTTCATAAGTGTTGGTTTGGGAGAGGGACCTAGGCCCAGCAGAGGACCCATCAGACTGGGTCGACATTTGGGAGGCCACAGCCACAATATCCATATGCGTAAATCACAAAGAACAGGCCTATAAAACACTAATGAGATGGTACATCACCCCCTGAAACTCAAACAGATGGGCAGGTCAGATACAGACACATGCTGGAAAGGATGCGGCCACAAGGGAACCTACCTCCACCTATGGTGGGAGTGCGCTCCCATAGCACAAATATGGCAACAGGTCACAACAATGGTCTCTAGAATTCTACACACAGACATTCCACTCAATCCATGGATCTGTCTGCTATCAAAACCACATGCAGACATACCCAGGTAGCCCGGATAGCCCTAGCGACAAGACGGGCAATATCCGAAAAATGGGGCAACCCAGACACGCCAAACATGGAGGTCATAAGGCAAAATATATTAGACGCAATAAAAATGGATGAAATGTCCGCAATGGTACATGACACAACCAAACACTTTCACAAAATATGGGACCCATGGTTCTACGAATTCCCAATCCCTACATAATATGCCCAGGAAATAGCCACATATACAAGGTCTACTAGGCCACAGCAAATACACCTCCTCCCGCCAACCCCCCACGGAGGAAATCCCTACCCCCTTTTTTTTTTCCCCTCTTTCTTCTCCTATTCATTATTCCCCCTTCCTCTCACCCTCTCCTTTATTTTTCCCCACACAAAACCCCCTAACACCACTGTAATACCATTGCAGCCCACCTCACGACCCACAGCTACACTGCATAACTTACCCCACCCTTGGAGCCCTACGCCCCAAGGCGGAGGACCCACGCGAGGACGCAACCCGAATGATCACGACGCAAGACACCACGACCCACGACCTTTCAAGAGAACCGACCGAACCGCACGTACTCACATCAGCAAAGCATACAATAACTTCATAAAGACACCCATACGACATACACTAACGCCATTATGCCCGCACCACAACCGTAGGCGAGGCACAAACGACAAAAACACACCTTAGACCAGCCGGGCCACAACCCGACCTACTAGACAAACACACGACACCAAGAGGTCAAAGGAGCAGAAAATATCCCAATACCCCCCCTTATCCGAAAGACCTCATGACTACACAACCCAGTTCACCCCTACCTGTTATAAAATGAAGGAATGTGCAAAGTGATATATATATGTCGGACACTTTCTAAATTCTGTACCTTATGTAAGAATAGGCTTGTAACACTATTGTTATCACAAAAACAATGCAAAGTGAATTACTGTGAACGAAGTACCAACATGTTGACTACCTGTTTGTTACATTCTCTATGCACAAATAAAATAAAGAATTAAAAAAATCCCTGCTCACACTAGGAAACCCAGGTATCATTAGAAACCTGGGGACCCCTCTGTCAGCTGGGGCCATTTTTAGTGGCCCAATGGTTTTCTGATGAGCTGCGTGCAGAGCTCAAAGTGAGGTCGGCAAGCAGCTCTTTTAATGGAGATTTAAATCCCTATAGACAGCAATGTAGTGTGAGCAGGGTTAAATCTCTGCTCACACTAGGAAACCCAGGTATTAATAGATACCCGAGGCTTCCCTCTGTCAGTTGATGAGCTGCATGCAAGCAACATACCACTGTCTGCGAATACAAAAATAATTTAAAATGCTGTTTAGTAGATATACCCCCACTGATTAAATGCATGCATGTTTTCAGTGGGGGTATATCTACTAAACAGTATTTTAAATTATTTTTGTATTTGCCCAGTGGAGTGTGCCTTTAAGGTAAATGTTGACCATATAGGCCAACAGCATTTTACTTTATATATATATATAATTCAAATTTTCTTTTTGCAATAGTATTCATTTTTTTAAAGTATTCACCTTCATTTATTAATATATAATTTCATTGATTGATAAAGATTAATTAATTTTTACTAAGTTGGTTTGCTGCAGTGTTATTTTGTGAATTGCACAGACCAATAGAACATTCAGTGTTCTAGATTCTAGAACACTTTTTTTTAATGATTCCTAATGTTTAATTTAATGTTTTTTTCCAGGCCACAGATTTACATTATGATTTGATTATTAACAGCCTGGTATGTTCAATGCCCTTTATTCTTCATTCCCATTTATGTGATTTCATAAAATACATAGATAATTATTATAAAATGATTGGTGTATAATAAATGGGGGGAACTTGGCAAATTCTATTTTGTAGTGATGTATAAAACACACGTAGAGTTATATTTCTAAAATGTCTTCATTTAATTATAGAAACAGCTTTAACCCCTTAAGGACCAAACTTCTGGAATAAAAGGGAATCATGACATGTCACATATGTCATGTGTCCTTAAGGGGTTAACCCCTTAAGGACACGTGACATGTCATGATTCCCTTTTATTCCAGAAGTTTGGTCCTTAAGGGGTTAATCTTGCTCTTGTCTTCAGCTACTCAGAGAGACCTCCTGAGCAGCTCTGTTTGCAACCATTAATAACGGTCAACCCCTGGGTGTGATGTCGGAACTTCGAGTTGGTTTCACAGGGACTTTACCCTGCAGAACAGGCTGCCCTTATAAACTGCTAAAGATCATAGTGAAATGTCATCAATGGCCTATATATAGCTCACGGAACACTGCTGAAAAATCTTAGCTTCTATTTAGCAAAGCTCTATTTATCTTTTTTTTTTTTTAAATAGCCTATGATTATGTGTTGGGAAATAAAACATTTTTCAAAAAATTACCTGAGCCTGAGCAGGTACCTATCGGATGGCAAGCCACTGGAGCTGTTGTCTATTTTCAATGTTCTCATAAACTCTTGCTTGTGATCAATGACTTAAAAGGGCATGTACCGCATATACATAAGCACTCACTAGGTTAACTAAATTGTGATTTATTTTTTTGACTAGGGAATATCAAACATGTGAATTTAAAATTATTTTTTCATTGTGGTGATTTGTGTTTAAAAATTACAATTCTAGATTAGAGAATAACCCCTACAGTGATGAATTTTTTTTTTTTTTTTTTGGTACATTCCGATACATAATATGGCAGTTTATAAGCATTTTATTGGTTTGGATCAATTAAATCACACTGTTTCAGGCTTATCAGAAGCAAAAACATACCGACTCTGACAGCTATATTTCACATATAAAATATTGGATTTGGTCATTTAACCCCTTAAGGACACATGACATGTGTCACATGTCATAATTCCCTTTTATTCCAGAAGTTTGGTCCTTAAGGGGTTAATGGCTATCGGACATAATCTATTCAGTGGGCAAAAAATAAAATGAAAAAAGTTATTGCTGCCCAGTTGCTTTTAATATACAGATGGGTCCTGGCACAAGTCACCTCCTTGTCCCCACCAAATTAAATAACAGGAGTCGACAAATCACTGTTAACCAACTTGTGGTCAGTAGGTGGGGGAGATTACATGAAAAAAGTTGGGGTAATTAACTAAATAATATACATGCAGGACTTAGTGTCCCCTCCTGCCCCCAATTGTGGTCAGCAGGTTGGGGCTCTGAATATAATGAAAGGGGGGACCTATTGTCCTCCCCAGCTTCACACATAAGGGGCTTTCCCAATCAGAGCAGGAGAAGTCATTAAAAAGGATGTGATTCTGTAGAATATTTATCAGATTTTTTTTTTTATCAACTAGCCAACCAATCATTCATGCTTGGCTGCTAGAATTTTGGCTGGCATTAAGAAACCCAGTCCAAATTCGATAAATATATAAACTAAAACCAGTTGATAATGTTAGACTGGGTCTTGCCAATAAAATGTAATGAAGACCATTGTTGCAAAATGCTTTTATAAACTGTGCATTAACGAAAACTAAAACCTGTATTGAACCATTTATACATATAGACAGTTTGTCATATCAGTAATTTATCTGTTTCTATGTAAACCACTTGCCGCTTCCTCGAAGGATACTTTAATAAGATGCAGTCAAACGGTAGTTGATATAAAAAGAGCCCTCGCTCTCTCCACAGTATTAAACATTACTTAAGGGTCTATGGTTTGCATGTCCTGGAAGTGGGGGACTAGCAAAATATGGTAAAGCAGCCAGCTGTGAAATATTCCAAGGTCACAGCTCGGTTGGCCACAAGATTTCTAGCTAAAAAGATAAAAGGTGACAGTGCTTAGAGTTTGGTAATGTTTGCTCGAGCAGCGTGAAATGGAATCTAACAGTGCTTTTTTGACTGTGTTTCTTAATTTATTATGGTTGTTTAGACTTCTTAGACAATAAAATGTCAGCTGGTATTTCGCAAGCTCTAGAAGACATTCTACAGGCAGTGTATTTACAATGTGTATGGATGTATAGCGATCATTGAATTATGACTATATGTTGTTATTATTATGTGAGCGCATCTCAGCACGTGTGTGTGTGTGTGTGTGTGTGTGTGTGTGTGTATATATATATATATATATATATATATATATATATATATTTGTGGTCGGGGACAATCAGCAGAGTTATGTCAATGGTGCATAAGTCGGTTGTGGTGTGCCGAAACAGACGTTTGGGGTAGGCTTGTAAAAAGAGGGCAAAAAGTTAATAGTTTAACACTTTAATACGTGTTAACATTACGCAGTCAATACTTAAAATTTTATCAGCATTTATCACCATACCTGAAAAAGAAATTTTGTTAGTGGGAGATACTGTATAACACCAAGATACTGGCTGTCCTATGTTATGCCAAGTGGCAAAACAATGAATCTAAATTGATGACTTGGGAACCTAACTAATAGCCAAGTGGCGATAAGAGGCTCTACCTATGATTTGGCCCGTTGGGTACGTTTGCCACCGAGTGTTGTGGTGTGGTGTCGGCCTCTCTGTGAGGATTAAAAATAATCAATATAGGTTGGCCGTGACAGGTGAGGCCCTAACTGCTTTTGCCAAGAGGGCAGAGATGCGAGGCAGTAACTATGATTTGGCCCGAGGGGTGAATACCTCCATAGTTGAGGATGGGAGTTGGCATCACGGGACTGCTAAATAATGGCACAAGAAGCCGAAAATGATCTAGGGCCGCTTAAGAAACTGTAACAGCGAGACCAAGCTAAACATAAGTTGTGTAGAGCAAGTGGTTGTTGTAAGAATTGTATAACGAGTCACTTGCATGGTGACTTGAAAATCGTAACTGCGAAACAATAAACTGTGGCATGATTAATTAGACATACCCTGGCAGAGTTGATGGTAAGAATAAGTGAATAAAAAGTTATGGGCAAAAGAAAATGTGTACAGAGGTCCAAAACTGAAATCCCACTAGGGATTTCATAAACCAGAACACCATGAAAATACAATGGCGAACCTGCCGGTAAGGTAGATAAAGTAAGTGCAATGAGCCCAGAACACGAATACTCAGGATATCTGATACCAACTAACCAAAGGAAATTATTTAACTGTATAACAAGTGGCCCAGTTGACCATACATGCATTGGTCGGTATGAAGTATACGTCTGGTGAGACGTAACATACTGATATGTTCATAGCGTGTTTCGATATGTAAGAAAGACCATTAGAGGAGGTGGCCGGAATAATTGAACAACATGACCCCTGTTAAGTATATGTCAAGGCGAGGGGTAATTAACTAAATAATATACATGCAGGACTATGACTATATATATGTAAAACACTCTAAATAACAAATTTACACACATTTTAGTATTCACTATGTTCTAAATCTTTAATCCAAATAGCAAAATTGTATAAAATTCCTAAACGTGTAACTTTCAAACTCAGTAACGCCAAATGAGAGATTAATTCTGAGAAGTCTGTCTGAATGTATTAATTTAAGTCAAAGCAATTCTGCCAGACATACAATGCATCACATTTTTTTTTAAACTACCAGAGACAACTAGAAATTCTGTGTGCCTTTTCATGTCTGCACAGATATATCACAGACTTTAATCTTCTCGTGGTTTAAAATCATATTTACTCACATAAATTACATGCAATTTGCATTTATATAGGGTCACCATATTCCTCAGTGCTTTACAATCATAGAATGGTTTTAATTGGGGAAAACAAGTAGTTGACATACAAAATATTAACAGAGAAGAGGTGAAGAAGCTAATGGTAATGTCTGTTAAAGAAGAGTACCTTATACATGGAAAACCATGAGAAATCAATGAGTTGCTTTGAACACTTTAAGAGATTTTTCTCACAATATACATGACTTTTGCATGAGAAATGCATGGGTTTTACTCAGTCTCATAAAGGAGCACACAAAATTGTCCCAGACACCCATGATGTAGGTGATTATTTCTGCTTAGCAGAAGTGCATTGATGGATAAAATAATACGTTTTTACAGTAGCTCAGAGTTCTAGGAGATTGTGTGGGGACTTTACATAACTTTTGCATGTGTTTTGCTAGTGAAAACAGTTTCTGTTTCCATGCTTTTTGAGAGTAATTTAACTTGGAAAGAGAGGAAACTTTGTGTAAGAAATAGCAGTTACTTTTCTCATAGAAATTGCAGAGTGTGGAAAAAAAATTACAACGTAAATAAAGTTTTACCCTCAAAAGGAAAATTCTTGCATGACGTGCGTTTTCTTTTCAAGTTGTGAATTTGTTGGCAAGCATAGTGGGAACTGACAAGCAAATTGTAAATTTTTTGTGAAAATAGC